TTCCGGCCTGCTGCTTTGGGCTTCCCTGAGTTGTCTTTCCTCACCTGTATCCCTGGGGCTGACTGCTCTTCTGTCCAGGTTCTTGTCTTTTAATCCCCTTTTTCCTGCTCTTCTGGTCTGCTTCTTTGGGCATCCCTGAGTTGTCTCTCCTCACCTTTAACCCTGGGTAGTAGGTAGCATGCCTAATATCATCCCTCTCACCACCCTGTTTCCAACACAGAGCTCTCGTATTATTTGGGGGTAGGAATCATTTTTATCTTTGGGGCATTGAATCAATGCTGATATTCTAATTTCCTTGAAATACAAGGATAAATAAGACACAGATTCTATTCTTACAGTACTCAGTCTAGAAGGAGAGAGAAATATGTAAATGAGATATTCTAAGTCAGTTTGATGAATGTGACAGTGGAGGTATGTGTAGGATGCTGGTTAAGAACCCGGGTTTTTAGTTAATCTGCTGGACTTAATTTCCACTGAATCACTAGTTGTTTGACATTTGGCAAGTTACTTACTTTCAGTTTTTTCATTTATAAATGTTACGAATAATAGTATCTACTTCTTAGAGTTATGGTGACTTAATGGACTAATGGCATTCAAAATGCTTATTAGCACCACAATTGGCTCATAATAAGTACTCAATAACCAAAAAAAAACCCATTGCCATTGAGTCAATTCCTACTTACAGCAACTCTACAGGACAGTGTAGAACTGCCCCATAGGGATTCCAAAGCTGTAAATCTTTACAGAAGCAGACTGCCTCATCTTTCTTTTTTGAAGGTATAAATGATAGGATATAATGAGGGAGAAGATTAACATAACCCCAGATTCTGAGTAGATGAATAATGTCTGTTTGACTTTGAGGAGGCCCAATAAATAATATCTTTCCTTCCTATTCAGAATAACACATAAATAGTTGTTAAAGCATAGCATTTGCTTTAATGTGAGAGTCAAAGTTGTCATTCTTACTGTATCCCAAGATACCCTACCTAAGAGAAAGTTTGATTCTTCACAGCAGATGTGCTCCCCCATGACAGCTTCCCAGTGATTTAGCAGAGAAGGAAGGGAATGGAAATCAAATTTCCTCTCATCTCAAGTTCCAATGCTTCTTGTACACCAACCAGTTAATTCACTCCTTTTTACATGGAGGCAAGATGCAAGATGCAAGATATCCTGTAACAGTGCTATTAACAAGATACAATTAAAAGAGAGAGGACCAAATTTAGGGTATTGGGAGAGGTTGGAAAGGAGGGAGGTAATGAGATCAGATTTGAGATCAGTGGGACATAAAGATTATCACTTTATCCTACTTCTTAAGTCATAGCCTTACTTTTTTATCTGTATGAGGAGATTGGCCAGGCTAGAGCTACTGGATAAGAAACTGTACAGCTTAACAAGAATCTTTCTAGTAAACAGACTTACCCATCTGAGACATTAAACCAAGACCAGAGGCTGTTTGTCAAAAATGCTGAGGAGAGAATTTCTTAATGAGCCAGAGGATGGTCTATGACCTCTGAGGTCCCTTTTAACTCTAAATGTCTTTGATAGAAGATGTTCAATAAGTAATAAATAATTTGATAATATCCTTGTGGTAGTTCAGTTTGTGTGTCAACTTGGCTGGGCCTGGTTGAGTGGCTGGGCAGCTGAATGTAGTTATTCCCCATGGTGAGATTGGTAATTAACTCCATGGTGGACTCTACTGGAGCAGCTGAGTAGCTGCTTTAGGGATGTAGGCTACTTCTAGTATATAAGAAGCAAATTTGAGGAAGGTCTCCAGCTTTTTGGCATGCTTGAACTTTGCATATAGCCAAGTTGTTGTTCAGCAGCCTGCCACATTGCCCTGCCGATCTTGGGACTTTTTCTGGACTTGAACCAATGGCCTCCCATGTGGTTTGGTAATATTGGGACTGTGCCTTTTCACTTGTCAGCCTCAGCATCCAGCAGCGGTTTGAGTGAAGAAAAGCCTCTAGCTTCAGTTGGCCAGGAGAAGGAGGCAGAGGTGAAGCCCAAGGTTGAGGGGCTTTCACCCAGCCCCCAGAACCTGTCATTTTGACCTCGAACTTAAAGCCTCCAAACTGTAAGAGAATAAACTCCTGTTTGTTAAGGCCATCCCATTTGTATTTCTGTTACAGCAGCATTAGGTAACCAAAACAATCCTAATAACATTTTTTAACGTATTAAAATCCTTAGCTACAGTTATACATTCTTTTAAATTAATAGTACATTTGTAAAGGTGTTATGTGAAGAACTTGTACTTTAGAATGTGTGAGATTAGAGCTTTATCTTAGCTAAAAGTTTGTGGGGAGAATAGAATGTATCATGATATCAGTTAAACCTTAGTTATTTCTCAATTTTCTTTTTTTAATTTCAGTATAAACCAGGTAGAAATGAATGTTATGATGTATTTCATATATGGAGGAACTTTGGACTTTCCAGACAAAGCTAATGTTGGGTATGTATTACATTTAATAAATTTGAATATCACCGTGTTAATATTTCTTAGCTTCTGCTTTGTTGAACTATTTTGTAAAGTGTCAGTGAAGTAGAAGCTTCATTTTTATTATGTATTTTGCTATATCCTTTGTGTGTTTTGAGGAATATCTGGTAAACAATAAGCAAGTCATCTTACTTATTTAGAAGAAAAGATGATCTGGCAATTCACAGCAATAGTAAGATTATGAAAAGTCTTTTATTAGACTTAAAGTAGAACAAACTTATTTTTGTTTTGGAAAATAAATGATAAGTATTTATAAAAACCAAAACTTTACTCAAATTTTGAATGATTATTTTACTACTTTATATATTTTTTTAATTTTTGAATGTCGTCTTTAAACTGCAAAAGAAAATGGTTGGAGGGGCCTTAAATTGTATTGAGAAACACAGACATCCTAAAAACCAATCGTGATGTCATTCTTAAGTACTCTATAGTAAGTTACCATCAAAATTGCTGAAATCCTACTGTAGGGTGAAAGTCCACCTTGCTCTTCTTATTCAGTGTTTCAGATGTCCTCCCCTTTTCCTACTCTTCTAACATCAGACAAATAAAAGCTGTACTTTTCATTTTAAATATTCATTGGTTGCTTCAATCACAAACTGAATGAAAGTGTTTCTTGAGAGAAAGTACTATGAGTTATAGGGATTGTGTACTGAAGTTTCCCCCCTGGACACTTACATAGAATCTCGTCATGCTTCCTGAAGCTTGTAGATCACTGAAGTACCTGAAGTATGTGTAGATATTCAGAAATATTTGTCAAATGACAGAAGCAAAGCAAACTCTCTGAGTCATTAAATGCTATTCACAATCTCAGGGTCATTTGTAGCTATTTATAGAATGATATTCATCAATGAATTACCCTCTCCCCCAAACTTTGATATACAAATTTGTTGCAGAGAATTTTGAAACTTTCAGTCCTTTGGAAAGATAGTTCCTAAGACTGAGAATATAAGAAGTTGACTGAAACATCTCTAAATTTACCTTTTGTTAACTCTTTATTAACCAAATCATGTGACAGTGCTTTCAACCTTTTGTCATGTACTTTTTATAGTCAATAATGTACATCTATTTTGTAGGGCAAAAAAAGTTAGAATTAAAATAATTCAGTTTTTTTTTCTAAATAGACTATATGTTATTAAGAAACTACCATACATTATACCTTTATTTTTAAATTAGACGAATAACAATGTGTGTGTTTTTATTTTAGTCAGGTACTCAATATGGCTGATATGTATGGACTAGAAGGATTAAAAGAAGTAACAATCTATATTTTGAGAAGAGATTACTGTAATTTCTTTCAAAAGGTAATTATCTTTTACCCAGTGCTAACAGTTACATTATTTTAACTGCAATAGTAAATAAGACTTTAAATATTAAAAAATTAAGTCAGTGCAACTAATGGGAACTCCAATTGAGAAATAACTTATATGCTTGTAAAACACAGAAACCAATTCAAATCATTTTAAGTAAAATAAAATTGAGATAGGGCCTTATTAAAAAGATACGGAAGCATCCTATATAATTCAAAGGTAAAGTAGACAGTGGGGACTCAGGGTTTGGGGGTTACACAGTGCTTCATCAGTGCTTTTCCCTGAAAGTATCCTTTCTCCTTCTATTTCTTTTTATTCTCTTTATTTATTTTATTTTATTCTATTTATTCTATTTCTGGGACAGAGTATAGTTCTCTTCTACCTATCTCTCCAGGTGGAATATGCTTATGGAATACTATTTTTCATTTTAGTTTAAGCAAAGGTAAATTTATTGTCTACAAAAAGATCTCATACTATGAATTTCAGAGTCATTGTATATTATTCTTAGGTTATCTGCTGTTTTAATTTTACTCTAGGACTATAGACTGTTTTTGTTTTCTTATTCATGCTTTTCTACATTTTCTAACATTAACCTACATCACTTGGTTTATATCAATATTTCCCTCCTATTGGGACTTGTTGTTGTTGTTGTTAGGTGCTGTCGAGTCGTCTCTGACTCATAGCAACCCTATGTACATTTGAACAAAACATTGCCTGGTCCTGTGGATACTTGAGAAGCAATAATATGCATTATATGAATTCTACATAGGCTAATTTTTAATAGTTTAAATGACATTTAAATTTATGTGTTGGATAGGACTTTTCCTGTCTCCCTATAAGTTGCAGCTGACAAAAAAGAGACACTAAATTACGCTTGTGCTAAAGAACACGAACAACTGGTTTCAGCACAATTACTGCCCTACCCCCAAGGATTACTGCCAAACAATTAAACACCTTGGTTACCTTTAATAATTCACCTCAGCCTCTATTAGTAAGAGAAATAGAGCAGTTTGTGGTGTCTTCAACTCTGTGGAGAATGGAGAATTCTGATGAAAGAATCTCCCTTTTCCTCATTTGACTCCTCCAACCTTCTCAGCCAAATGAAAGTAAGGAAGGTAGATCCAAGTGAATCCTAAATAAAGATTAAAGATAAAAGGAGTATCTGCAGTGAGGAGAAAATGTCTTCTTATCTTCCAGATGGACTTTGTCCTTTCTATAAAACCAGCCTATCCTGCCACTTCCATCAAAAAAGAAAGTAGTATGAGATTTCTTGGGAGAGCTTGGAATCTGCCCTCAGAAGCCAGTGAACATGCTGATTTCTAGAGGAGGAAGCTTGCTGGTGAAGCAAGCACTAGACTGGTGATTCTTTACACATTGATATACTAATTCACTGCCATCAGTTGGATCTGACTCATAGCAACCCCTCCTTGTGTATACAAGATGGTATCACTATGGAATTAGATTTCCCACTCTTCCTTCTGAGGAGTAGCTGGTGGGTTTGAACCACCAGCCCTCTGGTTAGCAGTCAGATGCCTTAGGCACTACACCACCAGAGCTCCTAAATATTGTTATATAAGGAAAAAATAACAAGGGGTTCATCTCACACTCCAGTTACAAATGGACTACAGGTAAGGAGGAGGATCTTACTGGTTGTGTGGAGTATGAAGGTTGGAAGAAACTGATAGAAGGCCAGATGGCACTGTGCCCTACCTAGGGAGACATTGGAAACATGGACAGTAGAAGATTCCTTTTCCACAGAGAGGCCAGAAAGAAGCTTGATCTGCCCCAAAAGAGTCACACATGAGCAGAGACCACCAGCATCTGAATGAGAACAAGGCCAAGAACATCTCCCTACTACTGTTTTGGTCTCTGCTTAGCTATATATAAGGTGACCTCTGCCATTCATAGCCTTCCTCCAGAGGAGCGTTTTAATATTTCATTGGAAATTATTCATAAAGTTATACATCAGTTAGTAGATTTTGTATTGCATAGGGCTGTTTATTTATGAATTAAACTAATTTAGCTGAGTATTTTAACTCTTGTGCTTATTTTTTATAATTTTTCAGACTTCCGCTTTAGGTTGTCAAGTATGCTTATACCAGTAGCCTCTTCTCTTATACTAATTTGATACTCTGTCTGAAGTGGATCAGGAAATAAAATTTTTAACTTGGTAGAATTTTCATATAGCATATACTGTGGTAACCATTCCTGATTTTAGGATAACTTAAAGTACCTTTAATTATCTCAAAGGGAATAACTAAATTGTTAATATGCAAAGCAAAATAGGTATGTCCTATTTCTTAAATAAGTGCTAATACAACACTTTTAAGGGAAGGATATTATAATATCCATTAATAGCAATCTGTTTTTAAAAAAAGTTGAAAATCACTGATTTTAGAACTGTGCTGAAGGCATTTCTAAAAACATTTTTACTCCTCCCTCAAAGTACAGTAAGTACTTTAGAATTATACCTTTAGAGACTAGCTATACAACTTGGCTGATTACTTGTCTTTATTAAATGTATGAGCCCAAGTCATAACTAATAGATGTGTAAACAGAAAAGTTGAACTGCGATAAACTTAATTGGGTAACTAAATTAGGAACATAGTCCAAAAACTGAAAATACATAACATTGGCCATATATAAACACAAAGGCATTAACACTAAGAGCAGTGAGTTTCTCTCACTACTCATATCTATGTTTTATTTGTTTGTTTTAATTAATTATTTCCACATGCATGCTTTTAAAAAAATGGTATACTTAATTCTGATTCAATTCTCTATTTATCTGAGGTCAATGTAGAACCTCCCATTGTACATATATTTAAAAGTTATATACTTAGGAAGTAGGTTAGACCATATGGTTGTATCACAATATGATGTGCTGGAAATTATTATGCTTCTATTGGAATACATATGTATGTTTCAAACCAAAAGAAGGGATAATGAAAATTGTGTGCATACTGCAGCTAAAAGAGCTCAAATGATATTCTATAAAACTAAACATTGTCAGTGCTAGTTGATTTTTGAGGGAATAACACACTTTTGAATTAATTACGTTTATTTTACAGTTAAACCATATTTATAAAACAAATACTTTTAGCTTCTAAAAGCTGAAAAATAATAAATATATTTTCTATCAATTTTAGCCTATTCCCAGAAGGTTGGGGTCTATTCTAGAGTGCCTGGTTATTGCTCATTCAGTTGGTGTGGAAAGTCTTTTTGCTGACTGCATGAAGTAAGTGACCTGAAGTTATGCTGATAGTATTAATTTAGGGATTTTATTCTTTTGTTCTCCTAATTTTGTGGACAGTTTTAGACTTGCCCTAATTTCTTGGACCCAATGCAAGTATCTTAATTAATTAATTGCACCAACTGAAAAAAAAATAATCAGTTTTGATATTCAAGATGCTTAGGATCAATTTTATTTTAGCTGAATCATGATTGTTGTTGTTGTTGTTGGTAGGTGCCATTGAGTCAGCTCCAAACTCACAGCAGCTCAGTGCACAATAGAACGAAACACTGCCCAGTCCTCTACCATCCTCAGAATCTTTACTATGTTTGAGGTCATCATTGCAACCACTTCTCAGTCCATCTCATTGAGGGTCTTTTCCTTTTCTGCTCACCCTCTGCTTTACTAAACATGATATCCTTCTCCAGGGACTCGTCCCTTCTGGCAACATTGATCAAAATAGGTAAGGTGAAGTCTGGCCATTCTTCCTTCTAAGGAGCATTCCAGCTGTACATCTTCCAAGATGATTTGTTTGTTCTTCTGGCAGACCATGGTCTTTTCAGATTCCTTGCCAACATTCAAAGGCATCAAGTCTTCTTTGATCTTTCTTATTCATTGTCCAGCTTTCCCAGGCATTTGAGGTGATGGAAAAGACCATGGCTTGGGTTAGGCACACCTTAGTCTTCAAAGTGACAAAATCAGAGTCTTCTTTGTTCTTCAATACTTTAAAGAGATGTTTTGCAACAGATTTGCCCAGTGCAATATGATGTCTGATTTCTTTACTTCATGGTGTTGATTGTGGACCCAAGTAAAAAGAAATCCCTAACAACGTCAATTTTTTATCCATTTAACATGATGCTGCTTATTGGTCCAGTTGTGAGGGTGTTTCTTTTCTTTATGTTGAGGTGTAATCCATATTGAAGACTGAACTCTTTGATCTTCAACGGTAAGTGCTTCAAGTCCTCTTCACTTTCAGCATCCAAGTCTGTATCAGCAGCTTATCTCAGGTTCTTAATGAGTCTTCCTCCAATCCTGATGCCATGTTCTTTATATAGTCCAGCTTCACAAATTATTTGCTCAGCATACCAATTGAATAAGTATGGTGAAAGGATACAACTAGTGACACACACTCTTCTTGATTTTAATACATGCAGTATTCCCTGGTTCTGTCCAAAGCTCTTGGTTCTGTTCAAACTTCTTAGTCTATGTGCAGGTTCCTCATGAGCGTAATTAAATGTTCTGGAATTCCTACTCTTTGCAGCATTATCCATAGTTATAATCCACACAGTCAAATTCCTTTACATAGTCAATAAAACACAGGTGGACATCTTTCTGGTATTCTTTGCTTCCAGCCATGATCCATCTGACATCAGCAATGATATCGCTTGTTCCACATCCTCTTCTGAATCCAGCTTGAATTTCTGGAAGTTCCTTGTCAATATACTGCTGCAACTGTTTTTTTAATTATCTTCAGAAAAATTTTACTTGGGTGTGATATAAATGATATGGTTAGATAATTTCCACTTTCTGGATCACCTTTCTTTGAAATAGGCACAGTATAGATCTCTTCCAGTGAGTTGACGAGGTAGCTTTTTTCAAATTTCTTGGCATAAATGAGTGAGCACCTCCAGTACTGCATCCATTGTTGAAGCATCTCAATGGGTATTCCATTAATTCCCGGAGCCTTGTTATTCACCCGTTATTTCAGTGCAGCTTGGACTTCTTCCATCAGTACCATTGGTTCATGATAATATGCTGCCTCCTGAAATACTTGAACATCAACCAATTCATTTTGGTACAGTGACTCTCTATATTCTTTCCATCTTCTTTTCATGCTTCCTGCATTGTTCAATATTTTGTCCATAGAATCCTTCAGTATTGCAACTTGAGGCTTGAATTTTTTCTCCAGTTCTTTCAGCTTGAGAAGTGCTGAGCATTTTCTTCCTTTTTAGTTTGCTAATTCCAGGCCTTTGCACATTTCATTATGATACTTAATTTTGTCTTCTTGAGCCACCCTTTGAAATCTTCTGTTCAGCTCTTTTATTCCATCATTTCTTCCATTAGCTCTAGCTATTCTTTATTCAAGAGCAAGTTTCACCATCTCTTCTGACATCTATTTTGGTCTTTCCTTCCTTTCCTGTCTTTTTTTTTTTATTTTTTTAATTTTTATTGTGATCTGCATGAAAGTTTACATGCAAATTTGTTTTCCATACAGCAGTTTATATACATTTTGTCACATGACATTGACTGCAGTTCCCCACAGTATAACAGCTCTCTTCCCATTTCCTCCCCATAGTTACCTCTTCCCTATAACCTTCCTTCCCATACATTCTCGCTCCCTGTGCTGTCTCCCTGTGCAAACACTGCCCTTCTATTCTCCCATGAGTGATCGCTTAAATTAAATTGACCTATCTGATGTAAGTGTTCATCCCAAATGTCTGTCTTTTATTTGGCTGGAACCCACCATAGTGAGTTCAATTTCAGACCTGAAGGGTGGCTAGGCACCGTAGTTTCAAGGGTCTCACCAGGCTCTATCAAACCAGCAAACGTGGTCTTTTTTTTTTTTTTTTTAATGATTTTGAGTTTTATTCTCCCATTCTATCTAGGATCTCCTACATAGATTCCCCCCACAGTGGTTGACAGTGGTAGTCAGGCACCATCTAGTTCTTCTGGTCTCATGGTAATATAGGCTGAAGATTGCATGGTCTGCCAGTTCCTTGGACTAA